ATGCTGTTTCTGATGTACAAATATCTTCCAACTTCAGACATTCAACATCCTCAACCTCACTAACTTCTCGCCAAGCACACGCAACTCCACATAAACTACTCAACACAACCTATCTAGCCTACCTTACAGCATCATGTGTGAGTCCTGAAACATTCAACACCTTAAAGGAGAAGTTTGGCATTTTACAACTTAATGTTGGATGGTTCCTTACCCCGAACGTAGTCTATGAGCCAGGATAAACTGTAATTCATGGTTCGGGATGGTTTTTGGATAAGGAACCATCTAACATTAAGTTGTAAAATAATGAACTTATCCTTTAAGACCTTTTGTAATTTATAGTTCACCAGCCACTTCAAATCCAACTCAGGCCCCAAATTCAATCTATCGTAGATAAAGGTAAGCACAACGAGGGTTCACATACTATGTTAAATACAATAATAGAATACAATCCGTTTTTTTTAAGGAAGGGTGGTTTATCTCCTAACTTAATAAAAGCAACGCAACCCCTAACTCCATTAAAGATAAAAACATGGATAGAGATACAGAGATGAAAATCTAAATTGAAGTGTGGTCTCTATAATATCAATCCTTACTTAATATCAGATAAGTGACACGTTTTTACCCCATTTAGTGAACATTCCAGGATACTTAAAAAATACAAAAACAAACAATATATTGGCATAAAATAAATTAATCCATTACGAAACCAACATATTGATATAAATTCATCATATATATGTACAACCTAATCAAAAAAAATTAAGAAAAGAAAACTTAGGAAAATTAACTACTGTAAAATTCCTACAATCATAACTTAAGTGTATTGAATGTAAATGAAGGGATAAAAGTAAAACTCCTGTAGTTTGAATAGTTTGAATTTGAATTGTAGTTTGATGAGCTCTCTGTAATGGTTAGCTTTGTCGTACATCTTAAAATGATCATTCTAATTTTACGTCTATGTATGTCTTGGTTATATTGTTAGATATTTGTCATATAGGCTATGTTTATTTTTAATTTATATTTTGGGATTTGTTAATACATATTTTTTGCAGCATTCTTTTGTAGCTTGATATGTAATTGTTACACGGAATTCCAAATTGACATCATTTGTGAGTGATATGTTGTTATTATATGTGCCAATGGCCACATAAAAAGTTAAGCGATGTCATACACATGATTTCTAACCAATAAGAAATATATGAAATCCACACAGAGTGCCATGGGTTGGACTCTATAGAGCTTTTACCATAGATATAGAACACTCGATAGATAGGCTGATTCATAAGAGGGGGGGGGGGGGGGGGGTGTAGCTGAGGAAGACAAAGGGTAGAAAAGGGAAGAGAGAAAGAGGCATAGGTGGAATGAAAAGGGGAGTGCATTTTCAGTAACAAATATGGCAACTTCCTCATTGCTTGAATTCTTTTTCTGGGTGTGAGCTGAAATATAGAAATATGTATACACAGAAGCTACAACAAAACAAACATGGATAACCAAAAACAAATGCGTTTAGATATAAGAAGAATTTCAATGTTGTAAAGTGAAGGATGATCCTTATTGGTATCGGGCTATTGATTTGTATTATGGAGTTAATCGGTTATGAGTGTTTGTGTGTGCGTGTTTGTATGGGTGTAAGGTTTATCCATTTCTCTACTGATATCCTACCACACAATCGCTAACATGACACAGTCCATTACCTATAATGGAATTCTGACATGAAAAAAATGGTCACTTGGTCACAAACACCGAGATTCACAAGTCCCTACATACTGTAAGCACAAGAAGAAAAACAACAACACACCAAACATAAACAAGACAAAGACAAAAACAAACAACAAACCTCCCTTGCGATCCTCATAAGAATCTACACCAAAAAATGGATAAAAAATAAGTTTTTTTCCCAAAGTTACTACTGTAAGGACAATTTATATGTTTATCTCCAGAACTCTGTAAGTGGTTAGTGAGATAGTAGGCCTAAGAGGGTCTAAAATGGTCGTCCGACACAAACCCCTCAGCAAGACGAGCACCTACCTACCCTGTCGACCAGCACCCACAGATCATAGCGGTTAAGTACAACTGAGTGCCCTTGCCTGCAATACTGTACTCCTTCTCCCTAGCAATAGATCCAGGATCATGTTAATAATAATAATATGCCATTTAGCAGACGCTTTTATCCAAAGCGACTTACAGTCATGCATGCATACATTTTTTTTTGTGTGTGTATGTTAACCTAACCCTGGTCATAACCATACATTAATGCTGCCCCTAGCAACAGATCTAGGATCAAATAACACATTTCGGCACAGGGTTTGTTAGCAGCAGCCACCGCTTCACTATAAAGGGGTGCTGGCTTTGAAAGGGTGACTTGCTTGGCTGTCCACCTTAAAACAAATGGTCGGAACATATTTACAATACTATTTTTGACTCAGTTTGGTATTCATAAAGAGTCTTGGAGTAGGAGTGCTGATCTAGGATCAGTTTTTCCTTTTAAATCATAATGAGTACAATTATATAGACGGGGGGGGGGGGACCTGATCTTAGATCAGGGCTCCTTTTCTGAGATGCTTTGTGAATACAGGCCCTGATCTACATAATGAGGATAATACATGTGGAGGTGTATATAACAAATAAAGGTAAATGCATAGGATACAAATCAGTTCCAACACTTTACGATAAACAGCGAGCAATACAAAACCAGATCACAAAATCTGCGATCGAAATAAAAGGCTTGGTCATTGGCACTGGGGGTAGGGAAAGAGAGGGTGGGAGGAGAGGTGAGGGTGGGGGTTATAGGAGAGAAAAGGGAGGGTTTTTTTCCCAAAGAAAGTGGTGGCCATTGTGTTGGTAAGAGTGACTATACAATTATAGAAAGGTCTTTGTGTAAGTCTTTCAGAGTGTAGTTGACTGTTGTGTGTTTATTGATGATTCATGCAGTACTTGTGCGTTTCACACACGAGATAATGAACAATTTCCGTATATCATTGATTTATATATTTTACTTTGTTTTCATGATATTGAGCCTGTTTTTTTCTTTCTACCATTTTGTTCTTTCCTTACATTTCTTTTCAGAGGCTGTTTTCCCGCCCCCTTCTCTGCTCTATGATTGGTCAATTGTTTTACATACTGAAAAACTATTCGCCTGGAATTTGAGTGGCATTGGCTGAGCAGAAAGACGAATGTTTATATATTTTGAAGATGGGACGATAAACCGAAAATTACCCACACTGACATTGCCTTCCTCTTCCCGATGCATTTTACTTACGTAGGTAATTTTCTGTGATTTTGCTATACAACGTTCATGTAGATTGTTCTAAAACCATTATTGTGTCAACAGTAATAGCTTATACATTATGTTGATTCCTACTATGAAAGTATTCGCCTGTTCCTGTTTCGTTGTTGGCTGTTGACTCTCACTCTCTCTCCCCACTGTTTGCGCACAGAGGAGGGAGAAATGCATTCTGAGAAGCACAAGCATATGACCGTTACTCAAAATACTATTGTAAGAAAAATACAGTTTTCAAAGCAGCTATTGATGTTTTAGTTACAGATAGGAGAGTCACAGCTTTCTGTGAGTATATCATGTATTTCTCACCTCTTAATATTGAGTTCATGGCCCTACTTTACAACCGGAGTAGACTGTAGTTAGTATGGTTTTGATGCGCCCGCGTAGCGGAGCTGAGCGCGCCATTTGCAGTGAATAGGCCTACATCAAGTAGCCTAGCCTAGCCTAGCGCTGGAAAGTTTTTGTAGGACATTAGCCTGCATTTACTGATAGCCATTGAGGCTAATTGATTAATCTATCTTGCAACAATATCATATTTAGTGTTTTGAGTTCCCACTTCCTCAGGTGGTGAATAATAGCTTATACGCCAATATGCACAAAGATGTCGGCAAATTCTCTGAAGAGCCAAATATCTATCTGATAATTCTAGATCCTATTTTGACAGGTTGCACATCAAAATATCAATCATGCATTTATTTCCTGGATATGTTAGATGAAATAGCTTACTTTTTTAAATCATAGGCTACCATCTCAGTTGTCTTACTTGGCACTTGAGAAAATTGTCTAGAGCCCTGCCGATAATGTAAAGTAACTCTCCATTAAATATTTTTGTTGTTGTTGTTGTTATCGAGTAAAATAGTTACGTTTTTAGTTACACCTTATTGTAAAAGTGTATTATAAAAACGTATACAAAATTATTATATTTATTAACTTAAAACATTATATGAAGCACTATATGAACTATATATAAAAAACACTAAAATATATTTTATAAGGATATAAAATATATTGTTAACTTTTTTCATATCATATAGTTCATATAATGCTTCATATAGTGTTTTAAGTTGATCAATATAATAATTTTGTATACGTTTTTATAATACGCTTTTACAATAAGGTGTCTTTTTATAATACGATTTCACAGTAAAGGAGCTCTGTGTAAAACCCAATGAGGGTAAATAGGTGTGACTGTTTAAGTGATAACATTTCACTAACGTTGAATTACCGAATACATAAACTTAATATCATAATAACATTTTCTTCTTTGATAATTCCATGCAATGGCTGGACTGAAGGCAAATATTGGCTTTTTCTACCAAAACACTTTTTAAAATCCAATGGTCTGATGATGTCATCTGAGTTTTGAATAAAGGGAATATGACACCTGTACTATAGGTGTTTTCTTGCTCAACTGATAAAGCAATGCATAATGCTAAGTTAAGTGGAATCCTAACTTCCACTTAAGTCACATTTTCACTTTGTATCCCAATGCATGACTAAGTGAACATTTGACTGAAGATAGGATTTGCCCCTTAATGAAATAGCAATTCATGTCAATGCAAGATTGACTGAATAATATGGTTACACATCTAAAGTATGTAACTAATGACAAAAGGTTAATCCTAATGGCCTAACACAGGAGATGTAAATACTGGATCTGATATAATGGTGCTCTTCCTGCAACATCTAGGTCGAACTGGAGGGGGTCCCATACACACACACACACACACACACACACAAAACAGTGTTAGAGGTACACAAGCTAACCCACACATATTTTAACAAAGAGGGATAGGCTTTGGCTTTGTCTTTCATTCTTTCTTTCTCTTTTTCATTCTCTCCATCTTTCTCGCATCTTGAGCTCTTCCTCTTCCTCCTTTAGCCAAGAGGAGATCGTGGCAGACGTGGCAGCGAAGCATTGTGGCGTTCTGATTGGTTAATTGGAGAGGGGCTGCTAGTTTTTGTGTCATGTAGTGTCTGTTAGTGGAACGGGGGTGAGGAGGGGTGAAGGAGGGGGGTCGAGATGGTTGGAGTGCCAGGGGTCAAAGTGCAAAGGTCAGGGTTGATGACCTCACACTTTTTTAGGGGGAGGGGCCAGCTTGATGATCTCGTCTTCAGAGGGTTGGCGAATTATATCTGAGGAAAGAGAGAGAGAGAGAGAGAGCGAGAAGGGGAGAGAGAAGTCTCAGTAAAATAGTTTGTTATTTGGCAGAGGGGATGCGTGTGAGCTTGGTGTCACACACACACACACACACACACATACGCACACACACACAGTCTTGTACAGCTAACCTTGTGGGGACACACAATTCAGTCCCATTTAAAATCCTATTTTCCCTAAACCTAACCCTAACCCGTACTCTTACCCTAAAACTAACCATAGCTCCTAACCCTAACCCTTAACCTAATTCTAACCCTAACACTAATTCTAACCTTAACCCTAAACCCCCTAGAAATAGCATTTGACCTTGTGGGGACTAACAAAATGTCCCCAGTTAGTCAATTTTTTGTTAGTTTACTATTACAGAATAGTTAAACACGTCCACACACACACACACACACACACACACACACACACACACACACACACACACACACACACACCACACACACACACCTTTGTATTTCTTGGCAGAGGGGATGCGTGTGAGCTTGGTGTCGATCTCGTCGTCCTCAGAGATCTTGAGTACGGTGGTACGATACTCAATGACCCGGGTCAGCAGGTCTGGTCGTCGTGAGATCTCAAAGATGTGCTCGATGTATGACAGGTTATCTATAAGAAGGGAAACATAGGGCGACATTTTTGAGGTGCAAAAGAGCAAAGATCTGTGCAAAAATACTAATTATAATATGAAAGTGATTTAATTTGAAACGTTTCTTAAACATTGTGTGTTATAAGATCTTTGCTCATTTGCTCCATGAAACAACCCTCCATCCCTCCCTCTCCTCCGAACCCTCCATCCCTCCCTCTCCTCCGAACCCTCCATCCCTCCCTCTCCTCCGAACCCTCCCTCTCTCTCTGCGTCCCTCACACTGTGCCAGTTTGTCATTCTTCTCCTGGTAATTGAATCACTCTCCACTCCTAGAGCCCTATGAAATCTGTGTAGCGGAGAACGTTGACGGAATCCCATTTAAACGGAATTCAACAATGTTCCAAAATGTATTGACCTTAGTAGGAAATCAACTTCATGTATTGAACTTAATAGAAAATGTTAATCATAAGACATGAACAAAATGCATCAGTGGTTCGTATTTTCCTGTATCTTTCTGAAACGGCACAGGAACGCCCATGTCTGTGTGTATGTGTGTGGTGTGGGCGTATACTTTGTGTAGCCGTTAGCGATGATTATGCTAATGATAACGTCTTCTGGTAGAGATGGAAAGGTTTCCCAAAAACCTTCTGAATTAAATGTTAACTACAATTTAGCCTATGCCTATCTGGCAGAATGATATCATGATTATTTGCATCAATCCTGTGGCCATTTGTTTTGCAAACTTTGCAATCATGTGAACACTAAAGAAACAGTGCTAACCAAACAATGGTCTCTGGCTGGTGTGCACATTAATTAAAGGGTAACTACACACCAAAATCAAAACATCTTAGATTTTCCCCAGACCTCAAAAGTGGTCTCCTGATGTGGTTTAAGCATTGTTGTGGACATCGAACATCAAATGCTGTTGTTTTTCTATCAAAAAATTGTTTTGCTTTTGAGAGGGAGAAACCTGGAATAACAAAACGGAGAAAACAGAATTTGGGGAAAAACTAAACGGAATCAGTCAAAAAATACAACAGATTTTATAGGGTCCATCTTGCCCTCCCTCCCTCCTCCTTATTCCCTTCCCAAATGTTCATCTGGGAAACCTGGAAAATTCTCCCTCTCTCACCCTGTGCCAGCTTTTCATTCTCCTCCAGGTAGTTGAACCACTCCTTGGAGGAGGTGATGGTGTTGCTCTGGTCCTCTGTGATGTCCTCCTTGCAGGCTGACTTGAGTTGGTCCAAGTCCTCGTTGGTGATGTTCTCAGACAGGTCACTGAGCAAAGAACTGTACTCCGACATGGTCTGAGGGAGGGAGGAGGAAGGAGGGAGGAGGAGGGAGGGCAGGAAGGGAAAGAGAGAAGAGAGAGCATTTAGTTAATTTCTCTCCCCCTTTTCTCTCTCTTTTTCTCTCAATCTCACTCGCTCTCTCTCCCTTTCAATTTTTTTGTCTCTCTCTACTCTACCCTCCAACCCCCGTCTCCCTTTTTCTTAACCCCCCCCCCCCCCCCCCCCCCCCCCCCCCTCTCTCTCGCTCTCTAGGACGAGGCTGACACTGCTTCCCCACATAGTAGGGCCACTGTCTCAGTCCCTCACATTCTTATGAACACAAACATGCTTTTGTTTGCTGCTCTCCTCTGTCCCTCGCTCCCTCCCTCGATCCCAGTGTGTGGAGAGTGAAGGGGGGAGAGAACGTCTCTTCTGTCTCTCTACCTCTCTCTCTCTCTCCATCTCCTCTCTCATACCCTTCCCCCCTCTATCCCAGTGTAAGGAGGGTAGAGAGGGGTGACAAGGTCGCAATCCTAGCCCAGGCAGCCCCTCTCCCCCGTGAGCAAACTCCTAAATCTACCAAATGGCAGCCTTCTGGCCTAGCACCTAGCAAAACGGGTTCCAACAGTATTCAAAGTAATTTCAAACACTTTATCTGTGCTTCATGGACCAACAGAATCGTCTCAAATCTGTAATCCCCGCCCATCTGACACTAAGCAGGCTAGAGCAAAGTTATTGCTCTAGCCTGCCTAGTTATTGGAAATATTATAAATAGTATTTGAACCCAGTTCTGGCTGTCCTAGAGCCTAGCACACCATATAGACTGTTCATTTGACTAGAGAGCAATGCCACTGTGCTATTCTCCATCTTACACCCGATCAAACATCTCTGGAGAGACCTGAAAATAGCTGTGCAGCGACGCGCCCCATCCAACCTGACAGAGCTTGAGAGGATCTGCAGAGAATGGGAGAAACTCCCCAAATACAGGTGTGCCAAGCTTGTAGCATCATACCCAAGAAGACTCAAGGTTGTAATCGCTGCCAAAGGTGCTTCAACAAAGTACTGAGTAAAGGGTCTGAATACTTATGTAAATGTGATATTTCTGTTTTTTTATGTGTAGATTGATTAGGGAAAAAACGATTTAATCCATTTTAGAATAAGGCTGTAACGTAACAAAATGTGGAAAAAGTCAAGGGGTCTGAATACTTTCCGAATGCACTGGTCACTTTAATAATGTTTACATACTGTTTTACCCACTTTACATGTATATAATGTATTCTAGTCAAGGCCTATCCTATTTAACTATTGCTGTACATATACTATTCTATCCTACGTATTACATATACATACACTATCAGTCAAAAGTATGGATACACAAACTCATTCGAGGGTTTTTCTTTATTATTACTATTTTTTACATTGTAGAATAATAGTGAAGACATCAAAACTATGAACTAACACATATTGAATCATGTAGTAAACAAAAATGTGTTAAACAAATCAAAATATATTGTATATTTGAGATTCTTCAAATAGCCACCCTTTGCCTTGATGACAGCTTTGTACACTCTTGGCATTCTCTCAACCAGCTTCACCTGGAATGCTTTTCCAACAGTCTTGAAGTAGTTCCTACATATGCTGAGCACTTGTTGGCTGCTTTTCCTTCACTCTGCCGTCCGACTCATCCCAAACCATCTCAATTGGGTTGAGGTCGGGGGATTGTGGAAGCCAGATCATCTGATGCAGCACTACATCACTCTCCTTCTTGGTAAAATAGCCCTTACACAGCCTGGAGGTGTGTTGGGTCATTGTCCTGTTGAAAAACAAATTATAGTCCCACTAAGCCCAAACCAGATGGGATGGCGTATCGTTGCAGAATGATGTGGTAGCCATGTTGGTTAAGTGTGCCATGAATTCTAAATAAATCGCAGACAGTGTCACCAGCAAAGCACCCCCACACCATCACACCTCCTCCTCCATGCTTTACGGTGGGTACCACACATGCAGAGATCATCCATTCACCTACTCTGCGTCTCACAAAGACACAGCGGTTGGAACCAAAAAGCAAGTCTCTTCTTCTTATTGGTGTCCTTTAGTAGTGGTTTCTTTGCAGTAATTCGACCATGAAGGCCTGATTAACGTAGTCTCCTCTGAACAGTTGATGTTGAGATGTGTCTGTTACTTGAACTCTGTGAAGCATTTATTTGGGTTTCATCATGGCGCTTGATGGTTTTTGCAACTGCACTTAAAGAAACTTTCAAAGTTCTTGAAAGTTTCCTGATTGGCTGACCTTCATGTCTTAAAGTAATGATGGACTGTCGTTTCTCTTTGCTTATTTGAGCTGTTCTTGCCATAACATGGACTTCGTCTTTTACCAAATAGGGCAATCTTCTGTATACCAACCCTACCTTGTCACAACACAACTGATTGGCTCAAACGCATTAAGAAGGAAAGAAATTCCACACATTAACTTTTAACAAGGCACACCTGTTAATTGAAATGCATTCCATGTGACTATCTCATGAAGCTGGTTGAGAGAATGCCAAGAGTGTGCAAAGCTGTCATCAAGGCAAAGGGTGGCTACTTTGAAGAATCTCAAATATAAAATATATTTGTTTAACATGATTCCATATGTGTTATTTAATAGTTTTGATGTCTTCACTATTATTCTACAATGTAGAAAATAGTAAAAATAAAGAAAAACCCTTGAATGAGTAGGTGTGTCCAAACCTTTGACTGGTACTGTACATGTGCACAAGCACACAGGCAGGCACGCAGGCACACACTGTCAGCACGCAGGCACACACTGTCAAGCATGCACGCATGCATGCACATACACAAACATACAATTGTCATCGAGTTAAAGGAAATAGCGGGTAAACTATGAGGGTAAAAACATGCCTCACATACCTGTTGAGCCATATTTCTCACTGTAAGAGGGGGCAGAGTGAGAGCGATTGAGTATTCTCCTCTCTCTCCCTCCCTCTCTCTCACTGTCCCCCTTTCTCTCTCTCTCGCTCTCTCTCTCTTTTGCTCTCTCTCTCTCTCTCTCTCTCTCTCTCTCTCTCTCTCTCTCTCTCTCTCTAGCTCCATCACTCTATTGCAATGGCTACTCGACCTTTGGATGCCTATTCTCTATTGCTGGGTGGGGTGAGGGGTGTGCACGTCAAATAGAGCTAAGGGACCTGAAAGGTCTGTTTGTGTGTGTGTGTCTGAGTGGGGGACTCGTTACTGTCTGGCTATACAGGCTGCACCACACACACTGACACACACATACACACCACTACTACTACCACCACTACTCAAACTCCATTCACCCTTCATACTGCTCAAGTTGCCATAGAGACCAGGCCCTGCTTTGTCTTTCAGCCCGGAGACTGTTACCTAGCGACCAGGCAAAGTTCCACACTCCCCCAGAATGAAAGCTCCTGGTGCGAGAGAGAGAGAGAGAGAGAGAGAGAGAGAGAGATAATGAGAAAGGGATAGAGGGAGAGAGAGCGAGAGAGAGAGAGAGAGAGAGAGAGAGATAATGAGAAAGGGATAGAGAGAGTAGAGTATTGAGCTTTTGAATGTGACAACATGGTGCCAATGTGACTATGGTGACAACGTCTGACTAATGTCAACACAAACACAGACACACACACACACCAACACACAGGCTCACTGTTCGACAACTCTATGACTAATATCTTTTTAACTTGGACCGCTCCATTAAATCTCTGCTTTAGCCATGGTGTGTGTGTGTGTGCGCTTTTGAACCATGGGCCTCAAAGCTTGACCAGGATAAAATGGCAAAAATGCGATCTTTACATGTAACCATGACAACCATGTTACTGTGAGGTGAGCTGAAAAATTACTCTGACAGGGATTTTGGAAGGGAAAAAAATACCTCCATCTCTCTCTCTCTCTCTCTCTCTCTCTCTCTCTCTCGCTCTCTCTGTGTTATCTCCTTTTCTCTAATCTTCCTCTCTCACTCTATTTTCCGCTTCCTCTGTTATATGTTGCTCTCTGTCAATTCAATTCAATTCAATTCAATTTAAGGGCTTTATTGGCATGGGAAACGTGTGTTAACATTGCCAAAGCAAGTGAAGTAGATAGTAAACAAAAGTGAAATAAACAATAAATATTAACAGTAAACATTACACTCAGAAGTTTCAAAAGAATAAAGACATTTCAAATGTCATATTATGTATATATTCAGTGTTGTAACAATGTGCAAATAGTTAAAGTACAAATGGGAAAATAAATAAACATAAATATGGGTTGTATTTACAATGGTGTTTGTTCTTCACTGGTTGCCCTTTTCTTGTGGCAACAGGTCACAAATCTTGCAGCTGTGATGGCACACTGTGGTTTTTCACCCAGTAGATAAGGGAGTTTATCAAAATTGGGTTTGTTTTCGAATTCTTTGTGGATCGCTGTAATCTGAGGGAAATATGTGTCTCTAATATGGTCATACATTTGGCAGGAGGTTAGGAAGTGCAGCTCAGTTTCCACCTCATTTTGTGGGCAGTGTGCACATAGCCTGTCTTCTCTTGAGAGCCAGGTCTGCCTACGGCGGCCTTTCTCAATAGCAAGGCTATGCTCACTGAGTCTGTACATAGTCAAAGCTTTCCTTAAGTTTGGGTCAGTCACAGTGGTCAAGTATTCTGCCACTGTGTACTCTCTGTTTAGGGCCAAATAGCATTCTAGTTTGCTCTGTTTTTTTGTTTGTTCTTTCCAATGTGTCAAGTAATTCTCTTTTTGTTTTCTCATGATTTGGTTGGGTCTAGTTGTGTTGTTGTTGTTGTTGTCCTGGGGCTGTGTGGGGTCTGTTTGTGTTTGTGAACAGAGCCCCAGGACAAGCTTACTTAGGGGACTCTTCTCCAAGTTCATCTCTGTAGGTGATGGCTTTGTTATGGAAGGTTTGGGAATCGCTTCCTTTTAAGTGGTTATAGAATTTAACGGCTCTTTTCTGGATTTTGATAATTAGCGGGTATTGGCCTAATTCTGCTCTGCATGCATTATTTGGTGTTTTACGTTGTACACGGAGGATGTTTTTGCAGAATTCTGCATGCAGAGTCTCAATTTGGTGTTTGTCCCATTTTGTGAATTCTTGGTTGGTGAGCGGACCCCAGACCTCAGAACCATAAAGGGCAATGGGTTCTATAACTGATTCAAGTATTTTTAGCCAGATCCTAATTGGTATGTCAAATTTTATGTTCCTTTTGATGGCATAGAAGGCCCTTCTTGCCTTGTCTCTCAGATCGTTCACAGCTTTGTGGAAGTTACCTGTGGCGCTGATGTTTAGGCCGAGGTATGTATAGTTTTTTGTGTGCTCTAGGGCAACGATGTGTAGATGGAATTTGTATTTGTGGTCCTGGCAACTGGACCTTTTTTGGAACACCATTATTTTTGTCTTACTGAGATTTACTGTCAGGGCCCAGGTCTGACAGAATCTGTGCAGAAGATCTAGGTGCTGCTGTAGGCCCTCCTTGGTTGGTGACAGAAGCACCAGATCGTCAGCAAACAGAAGACATTTGACTTCAGATTCTAGTAGGGTGAGGCCGGGTGCTGCAGACTGTTCTAGTGCCCTCGCCAATTCGTTGATATATATGTTGAAGAGGGTGGGGCTTAAACTGCATCCCTGTCTCACCCCACGGCCCTGTGGAAAGAAATGTGTGTGTTTTTTGCCAATTTTAACCGCACACTTGTTGTTTGTGTACATGGATTTTATAATGTCGTATGTTTTTCCCCCAACCCCACTTTCCATCAATTTGTATAGCAGACCCTCATGCCAAATTGAGTCAAAAGCTTTTTTGAAATCAACAAAGCATGAGAAGACTTTGCCTTTGTTTTGGTTTGTTTGTTTGTCAATTAGGGTGTGCAGGGTGAATACGTGGTCTGTCGTACGGTAATTTGGTAAAAAGCCAATTTGACATTTGCTCAGTACATTGTTTTCACTGAGGAAATGAACTAGTCTGCTGTTAATGATAATGCAGAGGATTTTCCCAAGGTTGCTGTTGACGCATATCCCACGGTAGTTATTGGGGTCAAATTTGTCTCCACTTTTGTGGATTGGGGTGATCAGTCCTTGGTTCCAGATGTTGGGGAAGATGCCAGAGCTAAGGATGATGTTAAAGAGTTTAAGTATAGCTAATTGAAATTTGTGGTCTGTATATTTTATCATTTCATTGAGGATACCATCAACACCACAGGACTTTTTGGGTTGGAGGGTTTGTATTTTATCCTGTAGTTCATTCAATGTAATTGGAGAATCCAGTGGGTCCTGGTAGTCTTTAATAGTTGATTCTAAGATTTGCATTTGATCATGTATATTTTTTTGCTGTTTGTTCTCTGTTATAGGGCCAAAAAGATTGGAGAAGTGGTTTACCCATACATCTCCGTTTTGGATAGACAGCTCTTCGTGTTGTTGTTTGTTTAGTGTTTTCCAATTTTCCCAGAAGTGGTTAGAGTCTATGGATTCTTCAATTACATTGAGCTGATTTATGACATGCTGTTCCTTCTTTTTCCGTAGTGTATTTCTGTATTGTTTTAGTGATTCACCATAGTGAAGGCGTAGGCTCAGGTTTTCTGGGTCTCTATGTTTTTGGTTGGATAGGTTTCTCAATTTCTTTCTTAGGTTTTTGCATTCTTCATCAAACCATTTATCACTGTTATTACTTTTCTTTGGTTTTCTGTTAGAGATTTTTAGATTTGATAGGGAAGCTGAGAGGTCAAATATACTGTTTAGGTTTTCTACTGCCAAGTTTACACCTTCACTATTACAGTGGAACGTTTTGTCCAGGAAGTTGTCTAGAATGGATTGAATTTGTTGTTTCCTAATTGTTTTTTGGTAGGTTTCAACACTACTTTCCTTCCATCTATAGCATTTCTTAATATTATTCAGTTCTTTTGGCTTTGATGCCTCATGATTGAGTATTGCTCTGTTCAAGTAGACTGTGATTTTGCTGTGGTCTGATAGGGGTGTCAGTGGGCTGACTGTGAACGCTCTGAGAGACTCTGGGTTGAGGTCAGTGATAAAGTAGTCTACAGTACTACTGCCAAGAGATGAGCTATAGGTGTACCTACCATAGGAGTCCCCTCGAAGCCTACCATTGACTATGTACATACCCAGTGTGCGACAGAGCTGCAGGAGTCGTGACCCATTTTTGTTGGTTATGTTGTCGTAGTTGTGCCTAGGGGGGCATATGGGGGAGGGAATGCTGTTACCTCCAGGTAGGTGTTTGTCCCCCTGTGTGCTGAGGGTGTCAGGTTCTTGTCCAGTTCTGGCATTTAGGTCGCCACAGACTAGTACATGTCCCTGGGTCTGGAAATTATTGATTTCCCCCTCCAGGATGGAGAAACTGTCTTCATTAAAGTATGGGGATTCTAGTGGGGGGATATAGGTAGCACACAGGAGGACATTTTTCTCAGTTGAGATAATTTCCTTTTGAATTTCTAACCAAATGTAAAATGTTCCTGTTTTGATTAATTTAATAGAGTGAGTCTGTCTGCCTCTCTCTCCCCCTCTCTCTCTATTTTGTCTCTATTTTGTATCTGTGTGTGTGTGTGTCTTGGTGAGAGAAAGACAGCCTTCTGAGACACAGAGCAGTGAGAGTGGTCACAGGGCATGATAACAGGGCTCCCTCCCTCCCTCCTCCTTCCCTCTCACTCTCAGTATCTCTATGCCTGCTTTGTTGTCTCTCTATCAGTCGTTCTCTTAAATCTCTCACTCACTATTAAACCTCAATTCTCCTATATATTTTCTAAATTCAATCCCTCCATGCCAGCCCCACGTTCCCTCTCGACTATCATCCAGAAGGCGGGGTCAGTACAGGTGCATCAAAGCTGGGACCGAGAGAATGAAAAACAGCCTCTATCTCAAGGCCATCAGACTGTTAAATAGCCATCACTAGCACATTAGAGGCTGCTGCTGCCTA